ATCTAAACGAATCGAGGCGACCAGCTACCATTAACCTTTAATGTTATTCACAGTAAACACAAAAATTGATAAAAATGCATATATATATATATATATATATATATATATATATATATATATATATATATATATATACATACATATATATATACATACATACATATATATATATATGCTAGTCTTTTTGATATGTCATAACGCTACCGCGCATTTATGCACTTGCTCCATAAATCAGCTCATGAACTAGTATCATGGTGTAGTTTATTTATGTAATATGATCAGCAATTGTGACCATAGCCACACATACGTAAAGACATGTATTATGTACATGTATACGCTTATATCTCAGACGAATTATCACCAGGGCAGATCTTGAACTCACCAGGGTCGATTGGAAATGATATATACTTAGAAACGCTATACGGATATTTTGGGCCATAAAAGCAACAGTAGCGGACCAAGAGGTGCAAAATGAACAGCTTGAATGTGTTATAGTTTCCCGGATCAAAATGATAACATTAAGGACATGCAAACCATTAGTCGGGAAACACGTACGATTCGGGAAAAAACGGGCCATGGAGCTGCACGCACTGCACGTACAGCAGCACTATGAATGGTATTAAAGTGCAGGGTTTTTGATTGCCTGGCATCTGCGACAGTGACAGTTCAAGAACATGCCGAGATTAACAGAAGTGCAAAGAAATAACGCCATATGCCGCTTGCAGGCAGGGAAATCCCGATCAGCTGTAGCCAGCATTTTCAATATAGCACTCAGCACCATCACAAGGCTATGGGATCGGTTTCAACAGCATTGGTCAACACGTGATTGGCCAAGGTCGCGACGACAAAGAGTAACCACCCCCGCCCAAGATCCGACTGCACCACCCACGTGAAAGGACGACAACCAGCCACCTCAACCGCATCCCAAATACCCGGACGGAGCAGAATCTCCGACCAGACAGTACGGAACCGTTTAAGAGCAGCAGGTCCACGAGCAAGACCTGTTCGGCGCGTCATATTGAGTCCACAATATCGTCAACAACGACTGCATTGGTGTCGTCAACACAGGGTATGGCCTCAACTGCGATGGAGAGATGTCTGGTTCAGCGACGAATCAAGATTTCTCCTCCGTCGAGGGGATGGAAGAGCACGGGTCCACAGACGTCGTGGAGAACGTTACGCCGGAAACGGAAGTAGGTATAAAACCTAACGTGGGACGCATAAAATCTCATGCACCCCGAGTAGGTATAAAACCTAACGCGGGACGCATAAAATCTCATGCACCCCGAGTAGGTATAAAACCTAACGCGGGACGCATAAAATCTCATGTACCCCGAGTAGGTATAAAACCTAACGCGGGACGCATAAAATCTCATGCACCCCGAGTAGGTATAAAACCTAACGCGGGACGCATAAAATCTCATGAACCCCGAGTAGGTATAAAACCTAACGCGGGACGCATAAAATCTCATGAACCCCGAGTAGGTATAAAACCTAACGCGGGACGCATAAAATCTCATGTACCCCGAGTAGGTATAAAACCTAACGCGGGACGCATAAAATCTCATGAACCCCAAGTAGGTATAAAACCTAACGCGGGACGCATAAAACCTCATGAACCCCGAGTGGGTATAAAACCTAACGCAGGACGCATAAAACCTCATGAACCCCGAGTAGGTATAAAACCTAACGCGGGACGCATAAAATCTCATGTACCCCGAGTAGGTATAAAACCTAACGCGGGACGCATAAAATCTCATGCACCCCGAGTAGGTATAAAACCTAACGCGGGACGCATAAAATCTCATGTACCCCGAGTAGGTATAAAACCTTACGCGGGACGCATTAAATCTCATGCACCCCGAGTAGGTATAAAACCTAACGCGGGACGCATAAAATCTCATGAACCCCGAGTAGGTATAAAACCCTACGCGGGACGCATAAAATCTCATGCACCCCGAGTAGGTATAAAACCTTACGCGGGACGTATAAAATCTCATGCACCCCGAGTAGGTATAAATCCTAACGCGGGACGCATAAAATCTCATGTACCCCGAGTAGGTATAAAACCTAACGCGGGACGCATAAAATCTCATGTACCCCGAGTAGGTATAAAACCTAACACGGGACGCATAAAATCTCATGAACCCCGAGTAGGTATAAAACCTAACGCAGGACGCATAAAATCTCATGAACCCGGAGTGATCTTGCAACACCTTATAATTTATACATACATATATATTAAACATTATGATTTTTTGTCAGTTCTTTTAAAATATATAAATAATATAAATGTCCATTATAGGCATGTTGTTGTAGCTTATTTCGTACTGGCAGTGTCAGGTTATGATACATTTCGACACTTAACTTTAACGTTTTCATTCGTCAATCCATTACATAGAGCGGAGACACATTTTGAGGAATAAAAGGACATGCGGTAAAAAAACAATGCCTTCTTTCCACCCAACTCACGCTCAAGGGCAGTAACGCCATTATCCACATATCTGATGGTCGATTCATGCTGCTATTTATTTACACTCGCATTTATTCCTTTTACCATCGCTGCCTGTAATGCATATTATTGTTTGGAGTTAAAACAGACTGCATTTAACAGATATCGTCCTCTGAGTGCTGATGGAATGGATGATATACAGGTAACTTCCATGTTTCCGACTGAGAAGATATTACACAACCAGATTACATAACATCGATTTCAATGCGCTGCTAAATATAAATAATTTTATAACTTTACAATTTTCGAGAGGAGATAAAAAATCGATGCAAATACTCTCAACGTGATTTCAACCGAAGAGTCCGTTAGCGAGAAAACACCACTGATGAAATACTTTGTATCATATTTCACAATTTACATGTTTAGCCTGTGTGAGTCTCAATACATACAAATGCAAAAAAGGATTTACAAATAGTTTTACATATTATTCAAACACTGAGAAAATACTGAAAGTTGCAAGAAAACAATTGCAAATGTACTGCAGGACAAAGGAACGTTGTAGGGTAACGATGAAATCTAAACGAATCGAGGCGACCAGCTACCATTAACCTTTAATGTTATTCACAGTAAACACAAAAATTGATAAAAATGCATATATATATATATATATATATATATATATATATATATATATATATATATATATACATACATATATATATACATACATACATATATATATATGCTAGTCTTTTTGATATGTCATAACGCTACCGCGCATTTATGCACTTGCTCCATAAATCAGCTCATGAACTAGTATCATGGTGTAGTTTATTTATGTAATATGATCAGCAATTGTGACCATAGCCACACATACGTAAAGACATGTATTATGTACATGTATACGCTTATATCTCAGACGAATTATCACCAGGGCAGATCTTGAACTCACCAGGGTCGATTGGAAATGATATATAGTTACTTAGAAACGCTATACGGATATTTTGGGCCATAAAAGCAACAGTAGCGGACCAAGAGGTGCAAAATGAACAGCTTTAATGTGTTATAGTTTCCCGGATCAAAATGATAACATTAAGGACATGCAAACCATTAGTCGGGAAACACGTACGATTCGGGAAAAAAACGGGCCATGGAGCTGCACGCACTGCACGTACAGCAGCACTATGAATGGTATTAAAGTGCAGGGTTTTTGATTGCCTGGCATCTGCGACAGTGACAGTTCAAGAACATGCCGAGATTAACAGAAGTGCAAAGAAATAACGCCATATGCCGCTTGCAGGCAGGGAAATCCCGATCAGCTGTAGCCAGCATTTTCAATATAGCACTCAGCACCATCACAAGGCTATGGGATCGGTTTCAACAGCATTGGTCAACACGTGATTGGCCAAGGTCGCGACGACAAAGAGTAACCACCCCCGCCCAAGATCCGACTGCACCACCCACGTGAAAGGACGACAACCAGCCACCTCAACCGCATCCCAAATACCCGGACGGAGCAGAATCTCCGACCAGACAGTACGGAACCGTTTAAGAGCAGCAGGTCCACGAGCAAGACCTGTTCGGCGCGTCATATTGAGTCCACAATATCGTCAACAACGACTGCATTGGTGTCGTCAACACAGGGTATGGCCTCAGCTGCGATGGAGAGATGTCTGGTTCAGCGACGAATCAAGATTTCTCCTCCGTCGAGGGGATGGAAGAGCACGGGTCCACAGACGTCGTGGAGAACGTTACGCCGGAAACGGAAGTGAACAGGTTTGGTGGGGGGTAGCGTTATGATGTGGGTGATATCTCTCATCATGGCAGGACAGTTTTGGTCCATACCCAGGGCAATCTTACGGCTCAACAACACATCAAAGAAATTCTCCTACCACACGTCCTCCCAATTGCAGCCAACAGCAACGGTGTATTCCAGCAGGAATAGGCGGCTTCGCCGACGTTAACCAAAGCCCAAGACGTTGCAGCAGTTTACTTTTGCGTTGCAGGCCGAGCTGGCTACCATTTCCAAGGATGTGATTCCCAAACTCGTTTCTTCCATGGGCAGGATATATCCGGCCGCTATCGAATCCAACGGGGGACATACGCGTTATTGTTGGTGGCTGATCTTCACCTTGGACTTTTCCTATATGTACCGATAACTGAGATGACTACAATCACCAAGTGTTCTTTCCACAACATTTTGGCTCAATACCGTTTACGGTTCCTCGTATAAATGTATTTTCCTACCTCACACAATGGTGATTAAGATAGTTCGAAACTATTCTTCAACACCTAAAACTTGTAAACACAAATGTAAGCAGGAAAAATGAAACCAATAAGCTAATATTGTTCTTCAAGAAAGGTGTAATTACTATTCTTTCTATATAGATAGTGATACTCATAAATGAAGATTTTTTTTATTGCTATAAAAAAGTGATTGCTCACAAAACAACATCTATTGTGAAAATTCAATTGTATAATCATATTATGGAAGCTACACGTACACCAATAAGTTGCTACAAAATATGAAAAGTAAATGTTCACAAACCTGTAAAATCAGCATAGTGACAAGAAGATGTTTCGGCTGGTAACTCGCCCGATGCTGTACTGCATTCTACGTTCGTCGAGCTATCGACCGTTTGAGACGCACTGTACATAGGTCATTGATGGATAGAATGGCATTGATTCATTCACGGTCTCTCTCCACAGGCATTGGAAGGATGGTGGATGGGCGTGAAGTGTGGAGAGGAATATGTAAGCATATTGGCCCGTGCAGACGGCATTGTTCTCTTAGCAGGAAATGAAGAAAATATCAACTTGATTTGTAATGTTATAGTCATATTAGTCCAAGATATAGCATGGATTATATTAACCTCAGAGGTCCAAAAAGGTTTGAAAACTGGATCATCAAGAAAATCGATTATATTTTCCAAAAATCAATTTCTTACAAATTGTATGGTGATGATTTCCTCAGAGTATTTTTTCAAACGCTAAGATAATAAAGAAGTGAGTGAGTGGGTATGGTGTTATTACTACTATTTCCTGTACATGTGGCCATCCATAACTCGTTACCAACACATATGGTCAACTTAGAATCCAATTTGAAGTGAGATAATAAAGATGAAAGCAACAAATATTTCCTGAAAGCACTCCATTGTACGATAAAACATAAAACGTCCAAATCAGAGAATAACCAGTTTCGATTATCCAACGAAACATATTGCATTGGGCGTAAAAGACCAAAAGGTGTGAACAAAATACTAAAGGATTACTGAAAATGATGACACATTAACACATTTTTTGATCTAGTGAGTTAACTGTGTCTATAGTTACATTCATGAAATAATGATAGTTTCCTTCGAATGAGCAATCTATATGAGTACACGTCAGTATTGTTGTTCTCTATCTATAAACCTCCAAGGTATTACTATTCATCATAATGTTCCTGTTAAAAGAGATAATAGTTGTTGATTCCTATGTAGATATCAGCAAGATTATCTCTTGTACACGTGGTGATGAGTGTATGTTCTAGTGTTACAGTGTCTTCTCACGAGGGACCATATATAGGTATTATAGTAATTGTAAATATTGTTTTATCACTATCGACCCTGATAATCACGCTTACAGACAACACAAATTCTTTGCGTCCTTGAACTTGTTGCGAGATTAATGTTCAGGGGCCCGTTAGGTTTCGTTTTAGAAGTAGTCACAATGAATGATGTATATATTGATGAAAATTATGATGCTGAAAATGAACGCTTTTTATATGAAAGACCACAGGACCATATTTATTGTTTTACATTAGGTGGTGGCCACTATTGAAACAAATGAAACATTCTATATAATAGTGAATACACAATTTATACTGTCTATATTTAACAGGGGATAGGATATTGTTCAAGGATAGCATTGAAAATTTCAGCTAACTAGTAGCGCTGGGTTTCTGAAGCGTTCACTTGATCATTGTACAAGATATGGTTGATGTATAGAACGTTGTCTTAAATGACCAATAGAAAACCACATAAGTGTGAAGTTATAAAGGTCTTTAACAGATGCGCAGACGCTCGTGATTCTCGATTGTCTGTCTGAGTCACTACCGAGATGTGAAGTACCAACTCTTAATCTGGAAAATATGTTTCTGAATACACATAAAGAGGAGTAAAGGGAACGATCATTAGATACTATGGGGGAGCCTGTCCCTTTACAATTCTGGAAAAATATTAACTATGATTCAGACTGTTTTGAAAAAAAAGAAATACATTGTTGAAACATGGTTTTAAATCTTTAAAATATTTATGCTCATAATTTTGCAGCTGTAGCTAGTAGCTGTAACTAGGCAAAATTCTGATCTGATTCTGAGAGTAATATACGTTTACTATATGTACTATACGTTTCACAGTGAATGCTGGTTGTTAGTGTCGGTCTCAATTGTTGAAAACATAACTGCACAACAACTACTCAGCACCTGAAATCCAAATTTGTCTACCCTTCATTATCCACATTTTATAACATGAAATATGCCCTGCGATTCCATGAAAAGTAGTTTTAACCAGTATTTAACGGTTTTCTGAGCAGTGAGTGAGTGTGGTTTTACGCCGCTTTTAGCAATATTCCAGCAATATCACGGCGGGGAACACCAGAAATGGGCTTCACACATTGTACCCATGTTGGGATTCGAACCCGGGTCTTCGGCGTGACGAACTAACGCTTTAACCACTAGGCTACCCGACCGCCCCTTTCTGAGCAGAGTGTGACTTTCTTCCCATGTAAACGCCATAAATGGATGCCACATTTCTCAAAACTGCCAACGCGAAAATAAAACATTTGCAGAAATCGATATATTAATGGGTCCAATTATATACATGACAACCAATCCAACCACGCCGTAAACCCGAATTTGTGGGCTGACGGAAACACACATGGGATAAGTGGCGAGTATTGTCCCGAAGCATCACATCGAGGGACGTTTCTTGTGGTTGCGTCGTCGTTGTTCAGGTTAGATTTCAATACGTGCAGACCAATGATCACACAAGCACATAGGAATTAATATGTCTGTGGTGTTTTTACTTCCTGTATTGAAGTTGATGACTATTGTCACGATATGTTATGTTTAAGATACAATACATTGTCAATGTCATTCTGCAGTCAGTATTTCCAATATGAACGGACAAGGAATAATCTTACACAAATCAATCTGTATGGGTGCAAATATGCCTTCCGTGCCCCAGATAATATGTATATATACAACCATGACTGTTATAAAATATGTTGAAACTGAAACTGACACTGAATCTAATCCACCGTTTCAGTATCTATTGTTATAATCGCGAGATCTTATGTGTGAAAATGATTGTCATTTTTCAGATTAGGTCCAAAGTACATAATGCTAAAATCGTATGGGCATACTCTGTGACGGCGCTGATTTGCATATAGACATGGTTGGATGGACATAGTTTGTGCAGTGGCAGATTTGCGTGTCGTCATGGTTGGATGGACAAACTCTGTTTTATTGCCTGTTGTCATGGTGCCATCGTTGCTCATGGTGTCTGCCACCGGTTAAAACTCGATAAGTTGTTTGACGTCGTTATGTGGCTGGAGTGGAACTAACTGCACCGTTCAACGTTCAAGCAAAATGTAAAACGTTCATTGGCATAGCCACCATCATGACGCCATTTTCATTTGGCACATTGAATATTAATATTTTCTAATTATGATATCCCGTTTTCAGTGAAACTGAATTAATGACAGTCATTCAATAAACGCGACAAGCTAGTTCCATAATCATAATAAATATCTGCTAAACATCAGAGCCAAATGTACCATTCCGAAGCTTGTGTATATAAAACCACTATCCCGCATTGTCGATACCAGGTGTTCCAAATCCAAAAAAAGATAATTGCTTCGGACATCACTTTGGTCACTGATATGGAGTGTGGCTGTAACGGTCTTTGCCCCACAACAAAGAAATATAGTCCACGCTGACGAATTGCCTGTTCAATATTTTCAATGCGTACAGGCTGTATTTAAACCAGTTACGCAAACAAGTAGCATATGTCTGTAGGCATCAAAGGGAGGTGAGGTGAAATGGGTTTTAACATCGCGTCCAATACTATTGCACTTATATAGCGACGTGCATGCACGGTGTGTGCGGCCGCTTGTACTCTTAGTCTGTACTAATGCCAATTTTATAGTGCCAGCCCACTTATATACCATGCCGCAGTTTAACATAAATACCCCACCCAGACACAGTATACTGACTCCGATCCGACCAGTCCTTGTTTTAACCCCTTAATGCAGATCCCCGGGCGCGTCATACCAAAATACGTTATATGATGGTACTTGTTGTTACCCTCCGTAATCTTTTATCTTTAAACGTATTTTGGTATGACGCGGCCGGGGAACGCCGGACGCTCTACCACTAGACCACGGAGACGGTCGCATCAAAGCGACGAGATACTTTCTCTTGATGAAAATGAAAGAAATTGGCTTCGGCAACTGAAAGGAATAACTCCAACAGCATTCCCTGCGGACATGTTGTCCACTATAGTTGATGATGACCATTCGTTTGCCACTGTTCAGAGGTGGGCAACCGTGTTCTAAAGAGGATGAGTAGGTCCCGTAGATGAGCCAAGATCACGAGGGACCTTCAACTGCCATCACTAGGACAAATGTTGATAAAATACATGATAGGATTGACGTCTCACAACACAGCATACAGAAGGCATCTCTCAGGAAACAGTTAAAACTGTCTTGACCCAACGGTACAATGCGCCTGTGCGCAAGTTTGATGCAGACTTGGCTGCGATGCAGGACTGTAGCTTTGGACTCATTGAACATCCTCCGTAATCACCAGATTTGGCGACTCCCGGTTTCAAACCTTTTTCCAAACCAGACGAAAGACCTGTCTGGCAAGCAATGTGCAAATTACGATGACGTTATTCTGCCGTGGGTGACGTTTTACGTCACTTGGAAGAAGCCTTCTTCACCAGTGGGATTCTGGCACTCCAGTGTCGTTGACAGAAGTGTGTGGACCTCGGAGGGGGTTATGTTGACAAATAATTAGCAACCAACTCCATCCTCATTGTTACACGTGGGCGCAGAACTTTTCAACCGCCCCTCGTATCCTCCAGATGTCCATCACACAACCTTTTGAAAGATTTACTTAGGCATTGAATGATGTAACCATGATCAAACTTTGCTTTAGCAAGAGTCTAATGACGTTTAGTCACCGTTTTGTACTCTTAGTTAAGCCCAACTACCAATACCCAAAACAAATATGAGATTTCAATGCACGGTAAACATTAGATGTAGCATGTATTGCAATTTGTTTTTGCTCTTATAATGTAAACTAATCTTACCAACCGTGACTTGACACGGTCTAATAGTGTCGGTCATTTATACTATCATTTTAACTTCTTTATTGTCAGTACCCGTAGCCTGCATCACATATCAATACATATTAATCAATTCTTATTCATTTATGACTGAAATGACAAACAACAAAATCGATGACGTTGGCATAGGATACGAACATTGTTAGAAGTACAACCTTGCAATTACATGTATGAAATGTAGCGTAATGAAAATATTATAAAATCGCAGCCTGATAAATGAAATTGATAATTACTTGC